AATGGACATTTTTTTTTCTTCCGCGGGGACGGTGGCGGAGGGGAGAACAAGTTTACAGAGATCACAATCAGACATCTTTGTGTGTTTCTTCTTCCCTTTTCTGTCGATTTCGGCGAAAGTGTGTGTGTGTGTGTGTGTGTGTGTGTGTGTGAGTGAGGGTGTATGATGAGCCAACTGCAGGCGCGGGCGTGGCGTGGCGTGGCGTAGGTGGGTTAGGTTCCCCCGAGCGAACCTGCTGGCCGGCCGGTCGGCTCGCCGGTCGGTCTGAAGATGGTCCGCAATACACGAGCAATTAATTTGAGACGGGGTCGAGGTTAAGTCACTGGGGCCGCCGCCGGCCCAACCTGTGAGATACACCGTTATCAGGTTATTATTTCTCTTATTTTGAGATGTTTCTTTCACCCAATTAATTATGATTTACGTTGCCCTTCGCGCTTTCGCGCTTTTCACGCTGTTCCATTTATGAAGCACATAAAGTTTTGAAAAAGCGGCTGGCGTATTGATACTTCATTGCACCTCCTTCAGTGCGTTAAATTTCGCTTCATGATAACCTTTTCATTCTTCTTCTTTTCTGTATTTTCCTAAGTGATTACGTGCTTTAAATCCTAATAAGGCGCATACTCGTAGTTGCAATGCGGATAGAATGTAATTGGACAGGAATGAATATAAAATGCCCGTATGGTGCCTGTGGCCCATCGAAGGCGTAGGCGGAGGATGTTGAGATAGGATCGGATGCTTCCTCCCCATCTTATTCCTCTCTTTTTGTTGTTTATGATGTTCCTTCCCCTTTCTGCTTTCTCTCGCGCTAACACGACCTCTCTCTCTTTCGCATCATCTTTCTCCCTATACCGTCTCCTGGGAGAGTAAGGGAGACACACATACACACCACATTGTCACGGATTTTTTTTCTTGCTTAAATGGCTTTGCGCAATCGTTATTACCGAACACCCAGCCGGTTCGATATATCGCTTTGCATTATCGTATAATAATAATGATAATGTTTATTAGTATCGGGTTATTGAGCGTGGGGATGTTGCAGCAGCCAGGCATTCAACGCTGCCGGTGGCTCTGCTCTTTTCCATCTTGTCCCGGCGTCCAAATCTTCAATCTGTCTGTCTGTCTCCTCAAGGGATGAGGCTATAGACATACTCGAGTGGTGCGAAGCAAGAAATTTAGGAGCTGTGACCTGTCTTGCAATACTAAGAGACTTCTCTTATTTTTGAACCTCAGTTCGCTCTTTCCGACGCATTGCGTGGGAGGCCGAGGCCGACATCCCCAACCCCAAAACACATTACGGCGCGGGATGACCATTTCTGTCAACATCAAATTATTAACGTAATGAATAATTTTCTCCCTCCATTTTGATATGGTGAAATTGCCCGTGATACGTGTGTGGGTGGACGTCACGGAGGCGACGGCTTTGATATTAATTAACTATACTAATGAGTATGGAAGAGGAGAGAGAAGCACAAAAAATGGGCTGATAGTAATTATGAACAGGTGCTATACTGATGCCCGGGACAGACTGGTTACTTCACAGGTCACACACCTCCTCCTCTGTCCCGGCGGCGCACGTTGTGGCGAGGCGTCGCGACGGCGGTGGGCCGGGCGGCCGCGCCCCGGACGCCCCGGGGCCGCGGGAGTTCAGGCGGTGGCGTCGCGTCGCCGGCGTCGTCGTCGTCGGTCTGTTTAGGGGTCCTGCGGGGTCGCGGCCGCGCAGCCGCGCATCGCTCGGAGAAAGCGTCGGCGGGGCGCGGGCGACACATTGTTGAGCTCGCCCCGGGGGCCCCCCGGGGGGGACTCCCATGTCAGCCCGTCCCGTGGGGAGGGGCCCATGTCACACGTGACATCACCAGTTTCACCATCCGTTACATTTACTACATAACCCAAACTTCACGCACATCGTGGAGAAGATTCGCTTAAGCTACTAATAGATTAGCTCGTACGTGTGGCCTACGGTAAGAATATTCGCACTCGCAGCTAATTTCTAGCTTACACAGGTACGCACGAAAAGTGATGCTGGAGTATCTCGTGCGTTTTCTCCGGTTTTCTCGTTCAGATAGAAACTTGGTGGAGATAGCTTATCACAGCCATTCCAACAAACCCCTAGTTTCTGCCCGTGCGTTGCGGTAATGCTCTTGATAGTTATGTTAATTTCATGAATGTTTATTTTTGCTGTCGCTGACACTTTGCAGATGCGCACCGCCGCCGCCGCCGGGTCAGCGGGGGTCGCGTGTTGCGTTTGACATTCCATGCGGCACAGACAACAGTTTTGCGGACGGAAAGGCCATATAGTCAGTTATAAGGGGGCGACGGCTGCTGCACGCATCGTGATCGACTCGCACGGCCGCCTGCTGAAATGTCACAATCACAGCAGTGTGTGAGTGTGTGTGCGTGGAGAGAGAGGGGGGGGGCAGAAAGAAAGAAAAACAGCGCCGCAAACATTTTAGCAATTGTTTTTAATGATTCAAACTTGCTTCTTTCACCGGGTGCCACTAGTCCACCCCGTCCGCCACGTTTCTTTTTCGAGGGTTTTCAGCAGTGTGGCCTCGCTGTCGCTGTGGTGGTGGAGTGGCCCCGTCTGCCTAACGGAGGGCGCCTCTGCTGTCGTTCAGCAGGCGCGATAAATACCGTCGCCTTTGCTTTGACTTGTCGATCAAACCGCGAAACCGCAGCGGCGCGACCTCCCAACGATAAACGGCCGACGCGGGTTCGAACCCCTAAAAGTTTTTGTTTCTTTGTGTGTGTATTTTTTTCTATCGGGCCGAGCTGGGGGACCACAGTCACGGGTACTAGTCAGTCCGGGATAGGATAGGTCAGCCCCTGCGCCCGCGAGCGCTATTGTTCGTCTCGGGACCAAAACGGCGACCTGCGTCCGAATCTCCCGCCCCGCGGCAGTGCCGTGCCGTCCGCCCGGATGGCTCCGCGTGCGCGTGCGAGTGAGACAGACTGAGCGGCCTCTTGTTCGCACGCGTCCCCGGCCGCGCACGCGTATGGGAGAGCCCGCCGCAATCAAATCAAAGGCGACATGGGCGACGTCTCTCTCTCTCATGTCGCAACCGCTTTTTCCCCTCTGTTCGCTCGGCTGACGCGAGGCTGCCGCGACCCACGATGTTCTCACCGGGACGGGGGACGCGCCGCACAGGATCGCACCGGCAGCCTGGAATGACAAAGTAACAGTGTTGTTTCCGGAAGGAAAGTGATATACTCTTCTGACATTGTCGGGAAGAAAATCATATGCTTACCAAGCTACACTCTGGAAACCCAAGTAAGTGTGTACTTGAATGCAGAATATTCTGTCTACCTACATGTATGCAGAATATTCTGTGTACTTGGCAAGTATGCAGAATATTCTGTGTACTTGTGTACTTGCTAGCTAAGTACAGAATATTTTGCATACATGTAGGTACACAGAATATTCTGCATTCAAGTACACACTTGGGTTTCCAGAGCATTTGTTTTTCCCGCCCTGGCCATGCTGCCGCCGCTGGACTTGTGGGCCCTTGAGCCGCTCCCCCGATGCTAAGGTGATGCTAAATGCGCTCACGGTCGTTCTCACGGGCAAAGTGGTGGTCGCTCGGGATGGAAGGAGCAGGGGGAGGGAACAGCAGCGGCACTCGAAAGAGAAAAGACCTTCGGTTATCACCCGGTTCTCCCCAGCAGCAGTAGTCCACGCAGCAGGTGCGCGGGGACGCTGCTGGTGTGGGGCAAGTCTAGAGGCAAGTGCAACGCTCTGGCGCTGCTGCCACACACTCTGCTCTGCACTTGCCCAACCCGGCGGCGTCACGAGAGTTAACACTGTCTGTCTGGCGCGCCATTAGCTCGCATCAGAGGGGCGGGCTCACTGATCAGCAGGAAGCGAAACAGGACTCTGATATGTGAGCGAATTGGACCTGTTTTAACGGCCGTTCGGACGGCGGCAGGGGGTCGCCCCGGCCCTGCCACGGGGTGCGGTGTGCCGACCAGTGGTAGTAGTAGGAGTAGTAGTCGCGGAGCAGTCCCCGGAGTCTATATAAGACGGAGCGGCTTGGCTTTTTTATGGCGGCTCTTTGCTCCCGGCCGAGCGGACGTCTTGCGGGCGGGTGGAACTACTCCGCGATATCTAGGCCTAAAAAACAACACAAAAACAAAACACGACCTATTTCCGAATGGTTTACAAAATTGCAACCTAGCGGGTAATATGCGTGGGTGGCCATAGCCGCTGACTCCAGCGGAACCGATGCAAAAACCACCGCCAAGGAGGGTGCAGCGACACAATGGTTGCGCCCCCTGTCGGACACCACCACCACCACCGGGGGCAAGCAGGGGGGCCCAGCTCCAAGAGGCGTTACATCAGGCGGAGCGGGACGTGAGCGGACTGGATGCATGAGTGGACTAATCTGGACGGCCCGGCCCGGTGACGAGAAGAAGGGTGCGTTGTATTGTTATGCAGCGGTCGCCCAACTTCGTTATGCCGGTATTTTCCTTCTCTTCCCTCCTCCTCTCCTCCTTCCTCTCGGCTGCCGGCCGCCACGCCGTGCCGTGCCGCGTCACCGGGCGTTCACAGACAGCAACGCCGGCCGCTGCGGCAAATTGGTTACGGCGAAAAGCGACGACTTACGCTGCTGTACGCCTCACCGGGGAAAGAAGGGTGAAGGTACATTCTTTCGCTCTACATACATGGACAGTATGATTTAGCTTTTGAGTACACATACGACAGTCCATGTTCCTCTCTTTTACTCTCATACCATTTTTAAGGTAGAAGGGCTGCCCCCCTCCCCTCCCCCTCTTTTTATTTTGCCTGTAAAATTGTAAAAAATACCTTTCGTAAAGTTTACTACATATTTTGATATCAATATTAAAAAACGTGTTTATATTTATGACAGCTCAATTTTTCTCGTTGATAAATTACAAGTTGATACGCGGTGCTTGTAAATTTAAAATTGTAATGTTACGAAACGCATCATGGATTTTCCCGAAAAACCTACAGCTATTTTTCGCAGTGTAAGCAAAGGGCAGGTGTCGCACTTCCGATCTTCCCCCTCTCGGTCTTTGGGCGCGCGACGCTCCCGAGGAGGCGTCGAGGCGTCCCGCTGCTGCTGCGCTCTATAAACGGGGTGTGGCGCTCTCGGTGCGGCACAAAACGCCTCGCAACTAGGAGCGCGTTAATTACTCTGTTAAAAACAACAACAACAACACACACACTACGCCGCCGTGGCTGCCGCAATAACAACGCTCGGCGGCGAACGCTCGGCTGACGATATGACGTAGGTAATCACGGAGCTCGGCGCCGTCCCCCCGGTCCTGAACTCACCTCATACCTCACACCAGTCAGGCCCGCGATGCGCCCCCGAGATACCCCCTACCCGGGCACCTTCCTTCGGGTGTCCCGGGCCGGGCTGGGGAGGGGGCCTAAGGGACAGCAGGGCACAGAAACAGAACGGACGCAAGGTACTTCTTTTAGACGAGAGGGAGCCTCGTGTAGTCTGGAGTCCGGGGGTGGTGATGAGGGGGGATTCAAGAAGGGAGGGGGGCAGTTCTGGCCGGACTGACGGGGCTCCTTGCTCTGAAATAGTCCCACCTTAAGAATGGGAGCACTCGGTATATTTTTTTGTCTTCGTCATCGTCGCTACGGCTGCGCGGCGTGCCGGGCGTGTGTGATGGAGTGAGAGAGAGAGAGAGCGCGCGCGTGTGTGTTGTGCACGTGTGTGTGCGTGTTTGTCTTTGGTTTGTCCCCTTTCGCTCGTCCTGCTTTTTTTCTTCCCCTTTTTTTGCCGTGGCTTTGGACCGTGCTCCGCCACCACTGATCTACGCGGGTATCTCTCAACCACGCCAACCAGCCCGCCTTTGCCCCGCCCAGCAGGTATCTCCATCATCCCACACCAGCAGCGGCAGCAGCCAGCCCAATTCTCTAATATACCTGCCACGCCACGCCCGCCCCAGGTCTCTCTCTGTCTCTGTCGCACTCGCCTGAGCGCCGCCATACACCTCTGTCGCTCCCGCGCAACCCTCTTGGCGCGGAGGTTCTCACAAAATATCGGTGGCTGCCAGACCATCAGCCGGCCTAGTCCAACTGATTGTGTCACACACAACTAATTAGGAGACACGAAGCGACTTGTTCCTGTTTGTCTCCGCCGACAACTTGATCCTGAACGAACCGTTTTGTTTTTTGCTGTTGCAGGACCTGCGATGGCCGCTCCTCGTGCGAGGTGCCCAAGGGCCGCGGGCGCGCGTCCCGGGTGGGCGAGGACCTCGACTGGCGGGAGCGCAACTGCCTGTGCGACCCGCTGTGCGCGCAGTACGGCGACTGCTGCGTGGACTCGCCGCACTACGTGGCCGCGCAGCAGCGCCGCTCCGGCGCCGTCTTCTCCTGCGTCGACCTGCGCCAGTTCAACGGCATCTACATGAAGACGTCCTGCCCGCCCGGCTGGGAGGACGCCGACGTCCGGCACCGCTGTGAGGTGAGTATACCGCGCGAAAAAGCAGCGGCCAGTTCGACGGCGCCCGGGAGGACTCTCTGCTGACTTTACGATCCGCTTCTCCGTGTCCCGCAGGTGGCCGACGACCAGTCGGACCCCATCGCCAGCATGCCCGTCACCTCGCACGGCTCGGGCTACACCTACCGCAACGCGTTCTGCGCGCTCTGCCACGGCGACATGCCCGAGCAGGGCGCGGACGCGGCCTCGACGACGTCCAAGACGCGCGTCGACATCTGGCGCCCCCGCATCGAGTGCCCGTCCGTCTACAAGTTCGCCATGTACGTGTTGCACCCACCATGAGAGCGGGGCCCTGGCCGGCAGGCAGGCCCGGCCGTCACCAGAGCACGGCGGCGTTGCCTACCTGCCCGTTCGCAGGCGCTAGGGGCAGGGTAGGCCAGCCCGGCCGACACGAGTGCACGGCGGCGTTGCCTACCCGCCCGTCCGCAGGCGCCAAGGGTTGGAGTAGGCCAGCCCGGCCGACACGAGTGTACGGCGGCGATGCCTACCCGCCCGTTCGCAGGCTGACACCCGCCGCTGATTCCATCTTTTGTCACCCGCAGGGAGGACGTGTCCAGGGCGCTCGAGTGGCACGCCGACCTCCGGTCCTGGGTGCTGGCGCTGCCGGTGCGCACGCCGCGCACCACGTCGACGACGCCGGCGCCGTCCACGACGGCGGGCAGGGCGCGGTCCACGACGCCGGCCTCGCCCTCGGTGACGCACGCGCACGTGACCCCCGCCGGCCACGGCAACGCCACGCACCACTTCCACCTGTGCCACGTGGACCCCGTGCTGCCCGACACGGCCGAGCGGCTGGTGCGCCGCTGCCAGGCCGAGACGGTGCGCGCGTGTGCGCCCAACTGGACCAACCAGGAGGTGAGAGAGCACGGCACCCAGAGCCGCGGGCTGGTCGTCCGGCCAGGGTCGATCGGTATGTAGTAGGGACAAGTGCGCAGCCGCCATTACCGGCGCGAGGAACTGGTCGTAACTAGCAATTCATCGGCCGGAGCATTAGCGTAGCTTTGAATAGAGAGAGTGAGAGAGAGAGAGACGACGGCTCGGCAGCCGCAGCAGCAGTAGCCTTGCCTGCGGGACGGACAGTCATGATCGCGGCTCATAGAGCACCCCTCCGCCGCCCACCTCCTCCACTCACCGCTCGCCCGCTCGCACCGCGCGAGACAGATGCCTATCGACTCTGCTATTCAGACGCACCGCGACGACGCCGGGGAGTGGCGCGGCGCGGCGGCGCTCCGGCCGAGGCTCGTGGGACCTGTTCTCATAATTACAGTTATGACAGGCGCTGCGTGATTACGTCTCATTGCGTGGAGGGGGGAGGGG